TGTCTGAGCAATAATGACTTTATTGAGAGTAATTTAGGTTTAATTTCATACTTTTTTGAGGGGTGGTGGATAAAAAAGGGATGATGACATGCTAAGAGAAAATGTGTCACATGGGTCACACTAATGGAAATTCAGGATTTTTTTTTAATATTGCAATTAAGAACTTAAAACTTGTATACTATTAAAATATGGATTCTTAGTTAAGATTTTATGCTATTCTAATTGGTATAACATAAACAAAAAAATAGTTGTATAAAATTTTGAATATACGACACTGAAACCTTGTGTCATGTGCAGTAAAGGATACCTGGGGGTGAGAGGGTTAAATGAGATAGTAGACTGATGCAGCAGTACAGTGTTTAACCAGCTAATCATATGTACAGATGTAATAAAACAGATTTGCCACTACTATAAAGAGTTACAGGACTACAACACATGAAGGTATGGGTTACACACCAGTATCTCTTACGTATAATTGAGAAGGTGGCTTGGATTATGAGGATAGAGCACACTTGCACCATGCAGTATATGGATACTAGTGTCAGCCAGAGTCAAGATGAACTTTATGATGTCAATTCTAGGTTCTAATTTGGTGATACAACATGAAAGAAAATAAATTATAAGAAAGCAAAGAAGAATATTTAATAATATGTAAACCAGACTAAATATGTCATATCCAGTGACAATAATTTAAAAGATACTGAAAATTCAATTGAATGATAAAGGCACCAATGTGGTTTACTACATATCAAACAGAAGACAAATCAAAAACTGTCATCATACAAAATCAAATTAATAATTATCTAATGAAAAGAACAAATTTTCAGTTAGTCTTTAAATAAAGGGTGAGCAAATGAAGTGAAACAAACATCGAGTATTATTTAGAATACAGACCAACATTCAGAAGCTCTCTCACCTTTGCTTAGGGAGAGTAAATGGGCTAATACTTCCTTGCAGAAATCAGGATTTTCATGATGAAGTGCAAGAGTTGGGAATTGTCACAATAATGACAAGAATCTACTAAATGATTATTCCAAATCACAGATATGGACTACAGGAAATTAACATGTCAGAAAAGAGCAGTATTTTGCAGCAGCTTCTAACATGTTACTTGTGATAGGTTAAAAGAAAAATATTGTGCATTAATTATTATTGTGTTACAAGTTTTGCCAACAAGTGTCTTCTTGTAGTTTCAGTCATGGTATTTCTCAACAGAATTAATAATATAAGCATAACCATGAATGTTGCAAATAAATTGTTAGACAAAAAAGTTTACATGTAACATAAAAATAATTATAATATTCAAGGCTTTAAATTTGATAATTGACTTAGACATTGTTAGAAAATGGGATAGAGAGTTTAGACAGTTAAGTAAATGAAATTCAATGAAAGTCAATATGATTAATATTATTATTGTAATTTATTTCAGTCACAAAATTTGCAAATCTGAAATTCATACTATTCAGCAGTTTGCTAGAAGTTAAAATGTTCTTACCTCAAACCTACATTGGCGTGTGGGTATATCAACACCAGCAATATCACTAATGTTGGTGAACTGAGCATTGTGGTGGTCTTTCAAAAATGTTATAACAGGTAGAACACCTTCAGGAGCAATTAGGATTTCAAGTTCATCCCCATGCGTCATTTGCACCTTCTGTACATACTTTGGCAGGCAATCAGCAACATATCTTCCAAAGTCAGATAGCTGTGTTCTCATTGGGATATTTTGTTTCCTAACAGTGACTAAAATATCAAAACAGTCAGCCTCATTTCTGGAATATCATTATAAAAACATTCTTCAATTACTATATTTGAGCTACATCAAATTTAATATTGTAGAAGTAAAATAAAATTCAAAGTGATATCTATCGCTACTCTAACTCTGAGCTGTAACTATTAGTGAAAAAGACTACTTACTCCTTATCTATCTACTTTCCTGCGAAAGTAGTACTAGATGTTAGTAGATATAAGTATTCAGAATTCAACATGCACTACACTTATAATTTAAATATTGTATTCATGTATATTGTTCCTTAAAGTTGCCAGGAGAATGGTGAAACCTGTGCTAACATTAAATATCACTTTGGTTTTTATTTTACTCCTAAGTTGTTAATTTCAAGTATGATGTTATACTTCTACTGTAAACTTAATCTAGAATCTCCATAATAACAATGGAAGTGGGGCTGGAAGAAATAGAGGCATATGTCACACATGGGGAAGAATGAAGCATTGTATCTGTACAGTCACTGGTTCAATAGTAGACTTGAGAAAATGGAAGTATGAAACTGACACTTTACACCCCATATATCCAAGGCCATCTTTGTCAACACTTTGCCAAGTGACTGAGCCAGTTATTAAGGCTGTTCCTTGGCTCAAAGAAGATCTTATAGAGGAAATCAAGAAGCAGCACAGGAAATGAAAACTTAAATAAATTCCAATATTAAAGTAACCCTGATCAAAAGAAAACCAGTCATCTGAGGGAAGTACCCTGGAAGTTTCCAAATGCTATTTTCAAAAGTTCAGTCTTCAGAAAAGTGTTAGGGGAAGGGGGAAAAAAAGGAGACCATTAGCAACTCAGATCAGCTCTTTGTACAAAAAAGTAATTAGCTCCACCACAGTGCTCGAAAAATGAAAATCTGGGCTTGTAACTTCTCCAGTGCCATGGTGTTATAATTTAAAAGTACTGAACCCATCTTCAAGCTCAGCTTTCCCAATGCATAAATAAAAAAATAAAAAATTAAGAGGTTTTTTCACAACAAGACAGAGTATGGTCCTGCTGTACTATAATTGGAAGCAAAGGTAGCATCAATCATACATGAAATGTCTGACAGAGAGAATTCAAGTAAGTTTCATGCCTAAGAAATAGCAACAGGCAAAGATTTTTCCCTACAAGGAGAATGCTTAAGTTTGTCTTTACTAATTTTAGACTCAGAATTCGTAACAAACCCAAGGAAAACAACAACAGTTAATATCAAAATTAAGATGCAGATAAAAAAAATAATATTGAGAAAAACCTAAACAACTCCAGAAAATACATACAAGTAGAAGTCAGTCATAGCATGAGGAAGTTTTTTGATGATAAAAAAATGTGTATGGAAAAGGTGCAAGAGAAAATATGTCCTTACAGGATATGCAAGTTCCAAGAAGAACAGCATGTAGATAATGTACTACTAGGTGACTGGCCAAAGAATTCTGTCAACAGGAGGTGATAATCACATTTAATAGTCTTGCCCAGTGGGGGGGGTGGTAGGAGTGTATTGGATCAGGAAAAAATACAAAAACAAAAGAATAAATTTAAACATTAGCATAAACCACAAGAGTTGAGGTCAATGTTAGAGGTACAATATCAAATTTGAATTTTAAAAATTCATAAAATAAGTAAAAGTTTCATAATAAGAAAACAAATGCGATGCATAGCTCATATGTGAATGTGAAACCTGTACCTGTAAATGATGAGAGACACCATGAAACTTAAATAAACTGAGAAGAAAGGTTGTTGGACAACTGGTTTCTTGTAAGATTACTATTTTTTTTCTTCTGTAAAATAAAGAAGTGATGACAGGATTTACGGGGTTACAAGGCTATCATTCTGTTGTTAATGAATTATTAAACATATTGAAAACTCCTTTAGAACATACATTGTGGAGCTAATGTTTTTATTTTGCTGATGATAAAGCCACGGAGGAAAGGTTGACACTGAACAGAATGGTAAACAGTAATACAGATACAGTATTGAAATTGAGTGAAAGTGTCAAATGGTCATTTTGATTGAAATGTATCTACTAGCCAGGGGTGTGGGGGCTTAGGCAGTCCCCAAAGCATGAGAGGTTGTACATGTTTTTAGATGAATTTTGAGCCATTTTGGACAATTTTCAGAATCAAATTTGAACTTGAATTTGTAGAAAAAAGAAATTCAGAAATCACTTACAACTTATCATGTTATTAGATGGACCAGCCTGATAATCACACGAGCAATTTTTTCAAACATTAATACTCAGTCCTTTTACATATATTCCCAATTAATTTTTCAAAACAGCTGTACATAAAAACATATCACTGAATTAACCAATTATGATCCTTTTGTTGTAAAAATGAAAATAGCTGGAAGTATAGAACAGTGTTGCAAAAAAATGTAAAATATGTTTATTTCACACTAAACTAAAATCAGGTTTTGTAATCATGCCTGGAAAAGGTAATTTTGACAAGTTTACGTTTACAGATGGAGAGCTTTCACTAGTGTTTTCTGGAAACAAAGCACAGAACAAACACTGGAATAAGTATGTGAAATTATCTGGTACTACAGGTTTTGTTGGATATGTGTACAGATAGCATTATGTGTCAAGAGCTCAAAAATGGCCTTAAAAAAAAAATGACTGTTGTCACCTTACTAATCCTTGTGTCCATATCATGCAAAAAGCAATTGATCTACAAAAATAATTTTTCTATCATTTAACTATGATGTTGAAAAAAAATACAAAACCCTATAACTCAAGCACTATTGAAAGGTGGACCTTTCTTCATCACGGGCAAACTGGTATTTAAATACAATGGTTGAGATGGTCTGCAGAGAAATAAAGACTCGGTATCTTCTTATTTACACAAAGTTTAGATACAGAAATAAGAAAACTTAATTGTTAAATTTATTCTCACAATTTAAATAGGTCAGAGTTGCAGGTTCCTTGACTGAAACAAAATCATCCTTTTTTAAGCAAAATTAGTGTTACTGTAAGAACAACTGTATTATTCAAAAATTTAAGGCAAGTTTGGACAGCTGATTTTTAGTTTTACTTTGAATGGATATTGTACAGAAGGATTTTTATTGTTTTATAATGTAATATTTAGGATTTTTATAAATTTTTTCTTTTTCTTTAGATATTTTAGTTTTTTTCTCTATTATCTGTCTCTACACTGGCTTGGTCAAATTGACCGATTATACGACCACTTTGTACTCATTTAGTCATTACAGTTTTGATACTAACTTTTAATATAGTATGTGCATCTTCACAAAATTTGGCAGTCTTTCAGTAAACATTACAAGTCTTTTACATACAAAAAATCAGATTTTTTAGTGAAGTATGTTTAATAACTATATCACTTAACAGCAACATTAATTTTGTTCCCGAGAAGGTACACTGCTTTTGTTTTATCTTTCAAAGGTTAGTTTGTTATATTTTTCTACTGTCCATGCTATTTTCCCTTGTCATGTAAATGTTTTTAACCATAAGAATGTAATCCTTGATCCATTTAAAAATTTTTGAAGAGATTTAGTTTAGGTTTTATTTTGAATTTTGTGCAAAGCTACATGAGGGCTATCTGCACTAACTGTCCCTAATATCACAGTGAAAGACTTGAGAGAAGACAGCTAGTTATCACTGCCCACTGCTAACTCTTGGCCTACTCTTTTACCAACGAATACTGGGATTGACCGTCACATTATAATGCCCCCATGGCTGAAAGGGCAAGCATGTTTGGTGGGACAGGATTCAAACCCACGACCCTCAGATTGTGAATCAAGCGCCCTAACCACCTGGCCGTGCCAGGCCCTTTTTTGAAGAGAAGAAATTATACAAGTAGCTAGGGGCTCTCCTAAAAGTTATATTAAGTTACTATTACTGGATATATGAAAATCATCTTTTACAAAAGTTTCTTACATCAAATCTATGTAAAGACTACATTAGTATAAGTGAACATTAGTTCTGTTATTTTTTTGATAACAACCAATATATTTTACTGGATTTTGAGGTGCTCTTAAATAGTAGTGACTAATTAAGCAATGGTTTTGTAATTGACTACCCCCTATCCAGCTACAGAAAATGTTATAATTTTCACTAAAATGAAAATTTATTTCCAATAGGTATTTAACTCCTCTCATATAATAGCTTTTCTTGTTCAGTGCTGCCATCTATATCTATAAATGTTTCACTTGTCACTAGTCTTAGCACTCCTACATATCCCATGTATTTAGTGTGGTACAGCTGCAATGTAACATGCAAATAAGCATACAATAACCCTCCACCAATAGGAATGTGACACACCCTTCTGGCACAGCTGACTCTCTGTATATTGTAGAACCCAATCTTCACTTCAAGATTAAGAAAAATGAAGCACCCGAAAAGGGGAGGAAGAGTGGGAATAGTCGGCAGAGGTAAGTACCTATTGGAAATACATTTTTCAGTTTTGGAAAATTATAACTTCTGATACGATACCTTACCTCCTCTCACATAATACATAAAATTCCACATTGAACAAGAGGAGGGACCGGTGCAAGCTTTACCTGGATGAGCACCCAAGCACACTCTTCAGAAAGAAGGGAGCCCCCTGAAGTGTGACATCTTTCTGTAGGGGAATACATCTGTGGGAGATTGCACCACATCTGAACCAGGTATACTCTCTGCTCATTGTGAAAATATATATTTCAAATTTGAGAGGAAAGGAAGTACATCCAATAGTCAATTGGATGTGCTAAATGGTGTAGAGTGACTAGGGGCTAGTCAGACCATAATCAGTGGGTCAACTTCAGTCCAAAAACAGGCGACATTGGGTATTTATCATCTGGTCCATTGTAGGAGGAGGATTCCTACTGTTTTCACCTCAAAACAAAGAAGCAGAAGTGAAAAACAGCTTCTGTTCTGCCATCTCATACAGGGAATATGTGTGCAGACCCAGTACACAACCAAAACCAGGCCACCCAGGAAAATGACATCCAGCAAAGGTAGGAATGGGGAATGCAACACAGTGGTTTACTCAAAGTTGTACCAAGGTGTGGAGAATGGAAACAGGTGGTATTTGGTATCCAGATGAGATGACCACATGATGAAGGTAATGGGAGATGAATGTGTTAAGTGTGGTTCACATGCCAGCCCAAATTAGTTCCTCCAATGGACAGTGGAAAAGGGCAGTCAGGGAAAGAGAGAGGTGCTAGATCTGATGAAAGAGCACTTGGAAAAGACATTGGAAAATGGAAGACAAGGAAGAATAAGCCAATCTGACAATCTGGAATCCATCCCATAAAGGTGGTAGGGGAAATATTACAGTAATAGGAAGGGTTACACTGGATAAACAAACAGAAATGGGAACTATGGAAAGAAGCTGCATGAGCAATATAACATCAAAAAGCATGAACAACAGAGAAGATTATTTGGATCAGGGCAAGAATACAATTGCCCTGATGGATATTTGGGAAATAGGAGTGAATGTGATGTCACCTCCACAAGACACCAGCATCTTGAGAAAAAACTGTGATCCAGAAACAGGAGAACTTAAGCATGGTGGTAAAGGATGTGATACATCGAGGAGGAAAACATCTGACCTATAATAACCACAGGCAACTGGAGCAAAAAATAGGTCTTGAGGGACAAATGGTATAAGGAACAAGTGGCCAAGGGTTCAAAAGAAGGTAGGCTAAGAGCATTGAGAACAACAGTGAGGTCTCAATCAGGAAGAGGTGTGTGAGACAAAAGGGAGAGGAAAATACTTGACAGGAAAGGGAGAAATGGAAGGTATTAGACAAGGCTGCTCTATAGCCAGCAATGGTAGACACAGAAAAACCATTGTTGAATAGCCAGGAAGAAAATTCAGAAATGTAATGAATGGTAGTATTGAAAGGGAAATAACCATGGTGCAGAGACCACCAGCAAAAAACATGACATTTTCTCTGTTACATCAATAAGGAGGAAGGACAGATGGAATAGGAAATAATGGAAGCTACATGTGCAGAGAGTCCAGACTACCTTGCAAGGGACTAGACAAATGCCACTTGTGAAGCTGGAATGTAGTAACATTGGAATGATACATTGGTAACTGAGGCTGTCAAAGTAGGGATAGGGATAGCAGAAGTGGTAATGGAGGTTCTGACTGAAGGAATGTAGGAACTGGAAACCAAGGTTGAGCAAGCCAAAAAGGTGAGATGAGAAGGTTCTGACACGGAGTAGACTGGAGAATGGATAAAACATGGGGAAAGAGATGGATTGGTGGATAGGAATAGAGGTGAAACCAATCCTGACTGATGGCATCCACTGCCAAAACAAAGGATGTGGGATCAGGGACCAAAAAAAGGAAAAGCTGAGCATTAAGATGGGTGGCAAATGCATCCAAAAGAGGAATATCCCACTGATCGCACAACCACTGAGACATCTGAGGATCGAGGGACCACTCCGTGGGGAGAACCTTGTCGGGACAAGACAATTGATCTGCAACAAGATTCAAAGCACCTGGAACATGACACACCAGTAGGAATATGTGATGTGAATGAGCCCAGAAGAAGAGTTCTAACATCTAGAAACACAGCAAACATGATTGTCGATTGATATATGAGATAATGGTCAAATTATTGGAATAGATCATGACCAGTTTGCCTCATTAAAGGTAGAAAATTATCCAGAGCTTCACAAATGGCAAGAAGCTCCAGCATATTGATGTGCATAGCTAACTCGACTGAAGACCAACTACCTGCAATTTCCTGTGTATCTAGAAATGCTCCCCAACCTATCAGAAAAGTGTCTGTAAAAAGATGTAACTATGGACAGAGAGGTAGAAGAGGAACACCCATCATGGTGTTGTCTCTGTTGAGCCACAAGGCTAAACCGATATTCACTGAGGGAGGGAGAAGGGTAAGAGAGTCCATGGGATCACAAGCAAGATTCCACTGATCATACAACAATCACTGAATGGTGAGCATGACCTAAGGAAATGAAGGCTTCCATGGAAGCCTAAGTCCCCAAAAGAGAAAGAACCACGTATGCAGTAAGAGAAGATGATGATTGAGCCTTGAGAACCTGACAGAATACATAGGGTGCAGATGCTAGACCAAGTGGAAAGCACAGAATTGATAAACTAAACCTTTGTAGACAAAACAGAGGTAATGTCTGCATGTTGGGGAAATAGAGAAGTAAAAGAACACATTTGCGATGCCCACCATCATCATCCAAAGCCCTGGAATAAATGGCCATTGAATTGTGAGGAAGGACTCGGTGGTGAAAAGAGGAAGGTCAATAAAACGGTTGATATGGTAAAATTCTATAACAGGTTGTCCATTGCTTTAATGTTTCTCTTTAATGGTGGACCATTGCAAATAGCTGTTTCATGGGATTGTAATGGTGATGGTTTAGATGGTACACATGAGATGACAATTTGGATAGCTCAATTAAGATTAGGTTCAAATAGTTTAATTAATTAGACAACTAACAGAATAAAAGAACTAACTATGGTATTTGATTCAATAATCTTTAGTTTCTCTTTGTTCATTATGTATCCATATTATGTATGTTATCGAAACTAAGTCACATTTTCCTATGGGCTATGAACTGCTACAAAAATTAATAAAGACAAATTATAACAAAAATGTAATGGACTTACGTTTGGATTCTTGTTGAGATGTTTCAGTACTCTGATGACATACTAAAACTCTGGTCACAGCTTGTAGGTTAAATGGTACTAAAACAAGAAAGAGTAACAACAAAAAGATATTCAATGCATTCTCAATACTTTTGGTACAAGTGACTAACCAAAAAAAATTTAAATTTCTGCATATAGTGTACATGTGATCAAAGTCACCTTATTTTGATGATTTCTGTTATCCCACATCTTCACACAACATAACCTATTTATAGACAAGGAACTAGTTGGTCCTTCAAGACTGTTTTATGCACACAAACACTGGAAAAAGTAAAAAATTAAAACCACCCTTAATTTCTCAGGAAATCATCAATCCCCTCTTAAACTCCTGGCTTTCACTACTGTTGACAGAAAATCTTGTAATTTTATCTTTTAAGCATTTACTTCCTTCAATATCAAGTCACTTTATGATAGAAAAATTAAAAAATTGCCCAGAAAACATAATATTAAGAATCTATGAAAAAGTTAACATTTTCCTAAATTGAAAATGTATTTCCAACAGATACTTACCTCTCTCCTCAAAAAAATATTGTACTTCCTTCCATTGGTGCACATTTTTCTCACCACTAGCCTTGCTACTCCCATGTATTACTGCATACTAACATTCAAATGATCATGCAGCAGCCCTCCACCAATAGGAGTGTGACACCAACCCCTATTATAACTAGCTCCCTCTCTGATCATACACATGTTAATCACTTCAAGATGGATCATAACTAACCAAAGCTAATCACACCAGAAATGGGGAGGACAGGTGGGAAATGTAAGTGGGGGTAAGTATCTATCAGAAATATATTTTCAGTTTAAGAAAATGTTAACTTCTGATACTATATCATACCTCCTCTCACAAAAACCTAGAATCTCACACTGAACTGGTGGAGGGCCAGTGAGAAGAAGATCCCTGTTTAGGAAGCACCCAAAGGAAGACCATGAGGTGTGAATAGGAATTAAAAACAACAAACCAGTGGGAGACCACACCACTTCTGAGACAGGTATACGCTTCGTCTTTTAGTAATGTGTTGCCAAAATGTAAAGGGTTGGAACTTGAAGGGGTCCCAAAAAAATACAGAAACAATGGGACTCCAACAGACCATAAATGGGAGTTCATCCACAGCTAACACCTGGCAGCATCTGGAATTGCACATCAGGTCCATGGTAAAAAGAGGGTCCTTTACCTTTCACCTCAAAAGTGGGTACTGGCAAGGAAGAGGATCTTCCGTACCAGATTCCCATATCTGCATGTGCACACCTCCAACACAACCAACACCAGATCCACTGGGAACCGACATCTGGTAGATGGTAGGAAGGAGGAGAGCCCAGGTGGATGTTCATCTCCAGTCCAAAACATAATGGCAATGGGAAGTTTTTCATCCAGTCTGCAGTATGAGGAGCATACCAGCCAAACACATGATGAATTGTGTGGTTAGACCATCTCCAACTAACACCTGATCCCTGGAAACTGACATCCAGAGGATGGTAGGAGGGAAGGTGTCTCAGACAGAGGAGCAAACTACAATATATATATATATAGTGGAGTGCTACATCCAACAACTGGTGGCATCTGGGATTGTACATCAGGTCCACAGTAGGTAGGACATCATGCCATTATCACCCACAGAAAGCCACCACCCTATTCTCAAACTAAGTGGTATTGTGCACACTCAGGAGGACAGGCCTAAATGGTGCACCACCCCAGTGTCTAGGAAGTGGTAAGGACTCCCATACTTTACTAAACGAAGGAGGGAAAAAATGTGTTAGAGAGTCCGGAGGACTGCAGCACTGGAAACAATGCAATGGCTGACTGCAATACCCTACTTTGAAAAGCAGAGCAATCACATTGACAGAATCAATCAACCAACACCTGGTAGCATCTGGAAATGTACAACAGGTCTGTGGTAGGAAGAGCTTCAAATGCCACAGATCATCAAAGATGGGCAGTAATCTCTGTTTGCCTTACTCATGTTAGTCCATGTATGTATGGTCCGGGGCAAACATATTTATGAAGCAAAAGACCATGAGGTATATCTACAAGTGGTCTTGCAGAACACCCCATCTCAACAGTGGGCATAATATGACCTGGATAAATGTCATGACATTGTATTTTGAAAGCATAGAGAACACGGTGATAAAGTCAATCAACCAACACCTGGTGGCCTATGTAATGGTACATCTGGTCTGTGGTAGGAAGTCTCAACGTCAGTGATTTGGTATGTTCACAGGTCGTACAATGCAGATTGAAGACTAAATATATTTGGTCAGGCAACACTCCCCTTAGAGTGGGATCCAAAGGCCCCTGCAAAGAAAAAGAAAAATGAACAAAGTACTTATCATCACAGACAAACAGTGACAACACTGATGATGTCCCCCAAGGGAAAATGAAAATGTGCAGCCAGGGGCAAGGTAAGGTGACAGATCTGATGAGAAGAAAACAGAAAAAAGATAATCATCAGGAAATGAACTAGTGAATTCAACCCAGAAGGGCAATGGAAAAAAGTTCACAGGAGAGGTGAGGATTTCACTGAAGAAAGAAACAAACTCGAGAACCACAGAAGTGAGCAGTATGTGTCATATTCCCTCAAAGAGCCCTTAGCAGGCAAAGAAGGTGAGAGGGATCAGAACAGTCATAAAAGAGGGAAAAGGAGCAAAGGCTGTCCAAATCCAAAACTAAAAGATCACTAAAAATCTTGTGAGAACAATCATCAGTGTGTTTTGATTGTTGAATGAATGTAGTCGACTCCAAACAGACCAGAGCCGTCACTTCATGGGCAGAGAATCATGGTTTCACTCCGTTGGACGTGGTCAGTAAATCACTGCTGCAGTAAGAGCAATCGTAGTCGTGACCACCCAAAACTGGGAATGCATAACTCCCAAAATTGAATGAGGAGAAGATGAAATAAAATAAATTGTAATTCTCCAAGAAACAGAATGAAAATGTAAAATAAATTAACTGAAGTAGAAATTCAAAAAAGTAAAAATGTATGGATAGGTTAAATAAACTGTGAGCAAAAAACATGTCTAATCAGTAGAACTGTGATTAACATGTACATGATTAGAGAGGGACAGTGTCACACTTGTATTAGTGGAGGGTTGCTGCATGATCATTTGCATGTTAGTAAGCATTAATAAGTGGGACCAGCAAGGCTAGTGGAAAACTAAAGTTTGCACCAATAAAGGGTAGTACAAGTCAAAAAAGCTTTTTGTGAGTTGAAGTAAGATATTGTATCGGAATTATATAATTTTCTGAGATGAGTAATCAGGCATCTAACCTGTCAAGTATTTTAAACTTTCTTAGCAACAGAAACAAACTTAGAAGTAAATAAACAAGTGAAACAGCATATCTTTGAAATACTGTTTATGCTAAATCATATAAGGAACAGAATAGACTGAAAAAGTACCAGAATAGAATGTTTATAAAAATATATATTACTATATCTCTCAGAGTTTTTAGTCTTCAATAACTAGTGCATGTAGCTGGAGGAAAAAATGTGTTCAAAGATTATTACTAACCATTACTACACTAGAGTATTAAAAAAAACATCTATCAGGAGTAGGCTACAAGAATTCACATGGTATTTTCAACACTACCATATATGTTCAAATTTTAATATATTTAAGGTAACTGTTTTGTTTAGAACTGACCCTTTAAAGGTAAATGCTATCTTCTAACATAGCCTTTTCTAACAATAATTTGTTTTAATATATCCCTTTCAAAGTAAAAAATATTTTGCATGAATAAGGCCCACACAAAGTAAATATTCTGTTGTAACAGTGCTTTACAGGTAATAATATGTAGTTTTAATGTGCTTTTTTACAAATAACAATATTTTCATCAAATTTGCCCATTAAAGGTAACGATATTGTATTCTAACAATGGTTCTTTCAATGTAAACAATATTGGGTTTTAATAAGATTTTTTCAATGTAATTGTTGCTTGTTCTAGTGTGTTTTTTTTAAGATACTGTTAGTTTGATGTGGTCCTTAAAAAGTAACTACTTTGTTATAATATAAACCATTCAATTTCACATTTTTTTGTTCTTAAGGGTAACAAAATTTTTTTCTAACAATTAGTAATATGGTTCTTTAAACTTCAGAATAATATTCTGTCAGAGGTGCCAAAGGATAACAAGCACTGCTTTCTACTACTACTACTACCCTACTTCAAGCTGTAAATAATAAGTCCTTTTCTTATATCCAGCTCTGACCTCTAACAAAATATTTATTCAATATCACAGCTTCTACCGTACCTGAAGGCAATCTATTGTAAAGGCTTACCACCCTATTAAACAGGTAAAAATATCTTAACTGGAGATGTGTCAAAGTTTTCCATACATCTTCTAGTCTTACTGTCTACAGTATTTTTTATGACAACAGCTAGTATTTTATGGATTCCAAACCACTAACATTCTTAAACTCTTCAGTCGATCCCTGAACCCTTCTCTCAAGCACAACATGTCCAGATTTCAACCTGTCCCAATATGACATCCACTCCAAACCAAAATCCTCTTGGAAGCTCTTCCCAACAATTTAAAATCATTTATTCAGTAAGGTGACTAAAACTGAACACATTATTCCAAATGAGCTCTAACCAGTACTTTACAGAGTGAACAGATAATCTTTTCTGACTTGTTCTCAATATTTCTATGTATACAGCTTAAAATCTTATTTGTCTTATTAACGTAATGTACATTGTATAGAAGAAATTAATACTGTAAGGACTATGCCCAAATATTTTTCTTCATCAATTTCTTGTAAAGGTTTTCTTTAAATTCTATAAAAATAATTAATGATAACCAGTGTGTATATATATATATATATCCTTACTTTCAATAAGATTAAAATGAAGCCACCAGATGTTAGCCAACTCACCACATAGTCTGAACTGAAACCTTCTGCAAAACTGTACCATCTTTATTACCATTTGAATGCCCATTAGTAAATATCATCTGTTAATTTAACAAATTTATTGGTTACTCCATTATCAGTGTTAACAAAAATCAGAAATAGTGAATCTAGCACAGATCTATGAGATACAAAACTTTTAACATTAATCAATGATGATCTTGCTTCATTTATAACAAACTTCTAACATACAACCAATTCCCAATCTACTTAACTAATTTTTCTCCTGTCCCAAAAGATTTAATCTTCCTAAGAGAGAAA